AGACCCGGCCCAGCCTCCGGGGGCTGTGAAGGGCCGCCGGGCATCCTGCTGAGGGCTGCGTGCGGGCGCTACTGTAGCCTCAGGTGACAAATCCGGGTGCCCTGCGGCCGGAGGCGCTTCTTCCCCCACCAGGGAGAGGCTGTTCGCAGCTGCGGGCGGCTGAGCCACGGTGTTGAACTCCTGATAAGCCCCTACATTTTTTATTTTTTTTAAGGAAGCTGTGGTACGTTTAAGCCACACAAGAAGAGCAGAAGGAAATCAGAAATCAGACAAATAAAGGCACTGGCAATATGTAGTGCCTTGGTTAAATCCTAGAAGCATCACGCTAAACACTTGAAAAAAAAAAAAAAAGAAACCTGTTTTGGCCTGGGAAACGGCTTGCGCACCTGTTGGGGTTGGAGAGCTGCTTGCCTGGCTCCACACGGCGCAGACCCAGCCGCCGGCCTCTGGCGATACGTCCAGGGTATGGAGGCTCCCCCGGGTGTGCTGGCCTCCATAGGGGGCCCCTCACTCTGGAGGCTTACAGTTCCCGACCGGGAATGACCTGCACAGCGTGGTTCTGAACTTACTGTCAGCAGAGGTGCAGCCTCAGCAATAAAGAGCAGCAGATCTGTTGTGAGCTGGGGAAATAGGAAGTCTGTACAGTTTTGAAGGCAAAAGAAAATATGCCTTCAAGGTGTTTGATGCCGAGCATTCATAATGCTTGAGCATCATTAACCATGGCAGGAAATGAACATTTTGTTAGTTAAGCAAGTGAGGACGAAGTTAAAGTCGTAAAATGTCTTCATGGGTCATCATACCAACGCAAGCTTCTAGCATAAATAAGTAGAATCTTTGGTGAACCATTAGAATTCTTTACACACTTGGATTTAATTTTCATTACTATAACTGTGGTAGACATTCAGTAGCTATTGAATATCTACTTTTCACATAAAATATAATTTGATTATATGCATATATGATCTTTTCATATTTTATATCTATGTAAGCATATTGAAGCATCTTGAAAGAAAATTACTTGTCCCCAAATGGTACTTTGTGTGTCTTTTCCCTTCTAGAAATGGAATTTCCTTCTTCTTTGACCAGTACCGAACGAGCCTTTATTCATCGATTGAGTCAGTCTCTTGGTTTGGTCTCTAAAAGTAAAGGGTAAGCTGATAACTTTTCTTATTTAAAGAAAATTATTTACCAAGAAAAGAACAATTATTCTGACTACATTTAAATAGTACTGTTCTAGATTCACATTCTTAATTATATTGTATGTAGATAAACTGATTCATGTCTGTACCAAACATAAGCTCTTTCCTTTTCCTTCAATCCCTCCTTTTTTTGTTTTCCCTAGGGGCAAAAAAAAGAGTAAACTTTAAGATGTAAGAAAAAATAGTTTAAATTTGAAGTTGATTACTTGAGAGAAATATTTTATTTCATTGAAACTAAATCTTTTTTTTTAAAAGAATGGATGGACTAAACGTAATAAGTATAATTATTTACAGAATTTCTCTTTTAATGTTACAGTACTGTAATGGTAAGCCTTAGAACACATTGACTTTTTTTCTTACTAAATCAAGAATCTGATGATTAGAACTGATTAAGTAAAATGGAACAGGAGGAAACAGTACATATTTTTTGAGAGTCACTGAACCATAGTGGGGAAAGGTCATTTGAGCTATCCAAATTGAAGAGCTTTGAAATTCTGTGGAACTATTTCATTTTGAGACTAAGGGTGGTGCGATTGCCGTATAGCAGAGCTTCTCAATATTGGAGCAATTGGCATTTTGGACTGGGTAATTCTTGATTTTGGAGGTTTTTTGGGTTTTTTTTTGCAATGTGGAATGTTTAAGCCTTACACCTATACATACCAGACAACTTCCTCCCCAGTTGTAACAACCAAAAACGCCTCTAGACATTGCTAAAATGTTTCCTGGAGAGCAAAATTGCCCCTGGGTGGGAACCATGGGAGGTGGGCATAAAATTTGAGCTTACTCACTTTTAGGTTAAACAATACTTTATTAAGTAAATATATTAATAAATAAATAGTAGGAAGATTCTAAGGTGAAATTAGCTGATGTAGGTATGTCTTGCATATGAATGTCCACAACAGGTGACAGATTACTGACAGGGGATTTAGCTTAGGTGAATGTGCATTTTGAACATCACTGAGGCCAATGCTGGAACAATGGCTAGGATCCTAAGCACCCCCATATTAGAGTCCTCTGGATAGGTAAAATACTGCACTTGGAAATAAAAATGGAATGTAGGGGCATAATCCGTTGTCTAAAAACACCTGGATCAGTATGTTTTGAGATTCAGGTTTTTCTGATTTTAGAAAGGTGTTAGGGAATAATTTTAATATGTTATATAATACCCCTAATAAGGTGTAGGCGTCACCTTCAATCACATTAATATTTCTACTGAAAAATGTATGATTTTTCACACTAAAATAAATAAAGACTGGAAATAGCCTCATGTTAATTTAATCAGGCTTTGCTGCCAGTTGAAGTTGCTGCACTTACAAAAATCTTTCAGAACTGTTTGGGTTTAAGATTTGCAGATAAGAGCTGGTGAGCCTGCATTAGAAAACATGTTATAAATGCACAGTTCTGCAGTTACACCATTTCTGTGGTTAAATGGGAACTGAATTCTGAACAATTAACTTAGAAATGACAATTACAAATTGCTCTTAGAAAAGCAGTCCATTTGAATAGATTGCCTCTACTTCTGTTCAGTAGTGTGATCATTTAAGGCAGTGGTTCTCAACCTGTGGGTCGCGACCCTTTTGGGGGTTGAACGACCCTTTCTCAGGATGCCTAAGACCATCGGAAAATACATATATAATTACATATTGTTTTTGTGATTAATCACTATGCTTTAATTATGTTCAATTTGTAACAATGAAATTGGGGGTCACCACAACATGAGGAACTGTATTAAAGGGTCGCAGCATTAGGAAGTTTGAGAACCACTGATTTAAGGGATGGCCTAGAAATGGAGAAAACATCTGGGAAAGGGGAGAGCAAGAAAGAAGTTATCAGGACAAAAAGGGATAAGAAACACTGAAGAGACAGGAAAGGAAAACATGCTAAGGGAATTTCAAAGACAGGAAAAAAGGAAAACAGATGCTAAGGGAAGCAAGACAACCCTGCCTACTAATCCAGGCCCTAATAGCAATATCCAATGTTCCACAATACCTCTTATGAAATTCCCTAGCACTTTTGCTTCCCTTTTTATCTTTTAACAAATGTAGTACAATGTTTATCTAGTGGTCCTTGTGCTCTTCAAATGCCTTTCCTTTTCACACATATAAAGAACTAAATCACTTTGAATGTACTTAACTCTTTTATTTTCATTTATTTGAGAATTTGTGCCTGACTTACATTTCATGGGCTTTTCAGTTCAACCTTGAGTAAAGTTTTTTTTTAACCTCTTAGCATTAACTTCATTAATTTAGGAAGTTCATTTTTCTGCTTTTTAAATGTTGTGCCTGGTATTATTATCCCTGGTATTATTATTACTTGAGAGAGAACCTGGTGTAGAGGAAAGGTCAGGAAACCTTGATTTTACTCCCGGTCTCTCACTGCCTTATTCTCTAGCTTTGGTCATGTCTTTAAACTTTAAAGGTCTATATTTTTTAAGGCTTTTTTTTTTTAAATGTAAAATATGAAGGTGTAAATTTCTTTGTTTTAGTTAAGATTCTGTGATTCTGTGATAGTTTATTTTGAGTTTCTTCTAAGGTTTAAAAAAATAGATTCTAGGTTTACTGTGTGAAAATTTATAATTTTTTTCTGATCACTTTTTTTTAAATCTCCCTTCTTTTAAAAAATTGAAAGATCTTTTCATCTATCTGCCTAACAAAAGTATAAATTAAGGAGATATGAAATTAAGCATTTACTGGGCATTGAATGCTTGTGTATTATTTTTTTAGAGACATTAGTTTCTTGGTGGCTGTGAGCTTTTTAAGCAGTCATTTTAGAGTTTGGTTCTTTAGCTGATCTTTTAAACTGTTTACAGATTTGGAAAGTGGGGAATAGTGATGCAGATGGTTGTATTTGAATATCTTAAATAGTCAGTAACATGCTATATAAATGTTATATAATTGATGAACTGATTCTTAAAATTGCATAAATTTGATTAGTTATAATATCTTTTTTTTTTTTTTTTAAAGAAAGAAGGCATTGAAATGCCAATACTTCATCATAGCATGTATTGGTTACTTTTACCTTTTATTTTATTTATTTATTTTTAAGTATATTTTTATCGATTTCAGAGAGGAAGGGAAAGGTAGAGAGAGATAGAAATATCAATGATGAAAGAGAATCACTGATTGGCTGCCTTCTGCAGGCCCCCCACTGGGGATTGGGCCCATAACCCAGGCATGTATCCTGCCCAGGAATTGAACCATTACCTGATAGATTCTCATCCACTGAACCACGTTGTCCAGGCTATTTTTACCCTTTAAAGTTAGGATGTTTTTTATCTGTAATTTCCATACATTTATTTTTATACTTAAAAATTGCATATGGGGCTTGCATTTTATTACTTTTAAAAGTTCATTTGAATTTCAGTTATCTAGCATTTTTTCCCACATCTTGTAGCATTGCCTTATATATGAAGGCTAGTATCAGAAGCTTTGAAATTTTTTTTTCCCCCAGTATGCATTTGAAAATTCTTATCAATAATGTTGATTTATGCTTTTTTGGGGGGCCCAACCACTAAAGTTGGCTTTCTTAACAGGTCTTCATGAGAGTGTGACATTACCAGCATACTGTGGAGACATTCAGTGGGATATGTTAGTCTGCACAGTGAACCATAACTTTTTTATTATCACTTTTAGATTCTGTTGTTCAGATTGTCCCCCCCTCCCCCCATGCTTCCCAGCATGCATGAATTAATTGTTGTCATACACCATGAAGTCCGCTAGGACAAACTTTAACACTTGTGGGTAAGTAAGCCATTTTCACTAATTTAAAATTGGATTTGCAGCATTTTGAAATTTTAATTGAAAGTGGTCTTGTGGTCACTTTAGCACCATAGCCCTCTTTAATTGAGTTTTTGGGATTTTCAGCATCTTTTCCCAAATCATTTTGATTTTTTTCAGTGTTTTGCTTGACATGTATTTTCTAAGTAGGCATACATCATATGTGAACGAATTGACTATATATAGTAAATAAATGATTTTTATTTAATATTCAGAAAGGGAGCAAATAGATACCTAACTGTGAAGAAGAAAGATGGATCAGAAACAGCTCATGCAATGATGACCTGTAATTTGACTCATAATACAAAACATGCTGTTAGGAGCCTAATTCAAAGATTTCCCGTCACCAATAAAGAACGTACTGAACTTCTGCCTAAAACAGAAAGAGGAAATGTGTTTGCAGTTGAAGCTGGTATGTATTTTCTGGGGAGCTTCTGTGTTTATCCTATTATTTGATGACCTTTTTCCATTTTAAATTTATTTTTAAAAACTAAGATGAAGTAAGATTTCCCAGTGTGAATAGCTTATTGAAATTATTAAAACTTATAAAAATTTTGGAATGAAATGCAGTGTTAAGGCATGTCATGAAGTTAAACAAGTTTTCTTTTTAAGTGTCATAGTAATAGCTACCATTTATTGAACATTTACTCTGTGCTAGGCAGTATACTAAACTCTCTATACAGGGCCTCATAGCAACTCTTGCAAGGTAGGAATTTCCCCTATCTCATAGGTGAATAAATGGGTTCAGAGAAGTTAAATAGTTTGTTCAAGGCCATTCAACCAGCCAATAAACTGCAGAGCTGGGATTTGACTACATGGTCTAGACTTTCCTATATTATGCTGCTGTGACATGCTAATGAGTGAGATTTGGAATTGAGTTTTAGCTTCTGATAAGAGACAGGACAGAATGTTCAGAAAATTAATTTGTTGAAAGGTAGATAATATATTTAGGTTATAAAATTAAGTGGCATTTTCACTGTTTAAAAAAATAACTTCCCTAGTGAGAAAATTATTTATTACCTGAAGTGACAGAATGTGCATAATTTTCAGTCTGTTGGAGTAGGTTTGCAGAATCCAGAAAACACATGGTACTAGATATCAAGGAATTTAAGTTTAAATACACACATGCAAAATATTTTTAATTGTGTGAAGAATATAAATACATCATGGCTCTATTTTATTCCTGTCTGTTTAAGTGTAGAAGTTGGCCAAAATACTCAATTAGGAAATTTGATAAGCATTAGAGCCTTATATTCTATACTAGAGGCCGGATGCACGAAATTCGTGCAAGAGTAGGCTTCCTTCCCCTGGCTGCTGGCACCGGCTTCCCCTGGGACCCAGGCTTCCCTCCGGCTGCCGCAGGCACCTGGGACCTGGGCTTCCCTTGCAGCCCCGGCTTTGTCTGGAAGGTCGTCTGGAAGGACATCCAGCCTAATTAGCATATTATGCTTTTATTATTATAGATTATTATAGATAATAAAACTCTAATATGCAAATCAACCGAACAGCAGAACAACCACCGCTATGATGCGCACTGACCACCAGGGGGCAGACGCTCAACGCAGAAGCTGCCCCCTGGTGGTCAGTTCACTCCCACAGGGGGAGCGCCGCTCAGCCAGAAGCCGGGGTCACAGCTGGAAAGCACAGTGGTGGGGTGGGAGCCTCTCCCGTCTCCAAGGCAATGCTAAGGAGCAGCAAGCCCGGCTCATGGCTGGCGAGTGTAGCGGTGGTGGTGGGAGCCTCTCTTGCCTCTGCTGCAGGCGGGCGGTAAGGAGTGAAGGCCCCAGACTGCAAGAGCCCCAGATTGCTAGAGGGATGTCTGACTGCCAGGTTAGGCCCAATCCCCAGGGGTCGGGCCTAAGATGGCAGGCAGACATCCCCCGATGGGTCCCGGACTGTGAGAGGGTACAGGCGGGCTGAGGGGGATGCCCCCCCCCTCCAGTGCACAAATCTCATGCACCGGGCCTCTAGTTTATACATATTATTCTATTTGGTCACATAATCTTACATGTTTAACTTAAACATACAGGGTATTTTTTTCATGATGTGTTTTCACATTGGACTTGGTAAATATAATTCACATTGTTTCCTACTATAATATTTCCTAATTTTCTATGTTATTGATAGAAACAAGCCTGAAAATAATTTTAAGATATCAAATCATGCTTTATTATTAATGGCTATTGAATGATTGATTTTTGTTTATTTGTAAACATTATGCATCAGAAATACTTTCGAGAAATTTCTTTTCTAAATAATACTGAAATTTGTAACGTATTCTCTAAGAATAGTAAGTATAGGAGTACAACAGTTGAGGCCTTGCTTGCAAACTTTATATGGACTGAGTAGAGAAGAAACACTTGAATGAAATTACATTAGAAATTACTTATTTTGTTTTTAACACATTTTTTAATGTTGATTATAAATGTATTTTTTTATTCATTTTCAAAGAAAACCGGGAAATGAGCAAGACAAGTGGGCGACTCAACAATGGCATACCTCAGATTCCAGTGAAAAGAGGAGAATCCGAATTTGATTCTTTCAGGCAGTCTTTGCCAGTGTTTGAGAAACAAGAAGAAATTGTTAAAATAATTAAAGAAAATAAAGTAGTTTTGATTGTAGGAGAAACTGGGTCTGGAAAGACTACACAGGTTTGTTTCCCTGTTGTGTATAGCAGAAAAAATATTTTATCCCATATACAGTTTTATACAGTAAACCCTTGATTTTTCAGACCTTTATTTAACAGACCTCAGGTTTAACAGACAAAATTTCCAGTCTGTGTCATATGTGAAAATTAACACCCTGTTAATTTTTAAATGCTTTTAACTAAGATTTGCTTATAATTAACTTAACAGGTTATTTTTTGTTGTTGTTGTTATTAGTTACTGTTATTTTTTAAAAAAATATATTTTATTGGTTTTTTACAGAGAGGAAGGGAGAGGAATAGAGAGTTAGAAACATCAATGAGAGAGAAACATCGATCAGCTGCCTCCTGCACATCTCCTACTGGGGATGTGCCTGCAACCAAGGTACATGCCCTTGACTGGAATCGAACCTGGGACCCTTCGGTCCACAGGCTGACGCTCTATCCACTGAGCCAAACCGGTTAGGGCTTACAGTCAAATCTATCAATATTTTTTAAGGTCTTTTGCCATGCTAAGAAAGGCATTTCCTACTCCAAGATTAAGCATAGGGAATACAGTCAAGTAAATTGCAGTAACTGTGTGGTGATAGATGGTTACTGGACTTCTTGTGGTGATCACTTTGTAAGATATATAAATGCCAAATCACTGTGTTGTACACCTGAAACTAATATATTATCTTATGTCATTCCAGAATGAAAAAAACAAACATTTTCCTATAATTATTTTTTCTTAATATTTTTTTATTTATAGTTTTAAAATCCATCTGGAATTTATTTTATCATATCAGGTAGAAAACTTACTTTTTCCCTCATGTTAATATCTAGTTGTTCCAATATAATTTGTAATTATCTTTTTTTCCCTTATTTAAGATAATACTTTTGATCAAATACTAAGTTTCTATAGTCCGTGAACCAATTTCTAGAATTTTTGTTATGTGTATTTAGTTGTATTTTTGCACTAGGATCTCACCTTTTGCTTTTTGTAGCTTTATAGTATGTAAAACAACATTCCTCTTCAATATATTTTCTTTTAAAATATTTCTTAGCTGTGTATATGCATGCTTCTGGGTAAAATAGTCGTTTAAAAAAATCCCAGAGGCTAAGATATGTATGAAAAGATGCTCTCACTCATAGTTAAAGAAATGAAATCAGAACAATTGTATTTTTCAATTATCAGATTGGCAGAAATTTAAAAATGATCAATATCCAATATTTGCATAGGTGTTGGGAAAACAGCATCTTCTGCTTTATTGATAGTATAAATTGTTTTGGAGGGAAATTTACAGTTTTTCTGTTCAAATTTAATTTATATTCTCTGACTATAAAAGCATGTGAAGATAGATATTCAGTGCAGCACTGGTAATAGCAAGGAACAACATCAATAATAACAAGTCCAAAAACCTAGAAATTATTTAAGTGTAGTTATATTTGTTAAATTATAGCACATCCATAGGATAGGATATACAGTTATCAAAGTGGATTAGGTAATCTGATATGTTAAGTGAAATCTACAAATTACAAAATTGTGTAAGTAATCACTTTGTATGAATAAAAACCAGCTTATATACACAAATATGCTAAATTGTGTAAACATTTTTTTCCCTGAAAGAGTTCATAAGAAACTTAACAGTAGTTATTTTTTTGGAGAGGACTAGTGGTAGTGGAAGGGGTAGGAAGACTTACTTTGACTTTTGAATATTTCTGACCTGGTTGAATTTAATTATAGAAAAGTATTTACAATCCTGGTATTAGGCTATTTTTTTATGCTTTTCACTATTAAAAACCCCAGTGGAATTTTGATTGTCGTTTCATTGACTTTATAGCATAATTTGAGAGAATTGACATTTTTGTAATTATTCCCATTCAGGAATATGCCATTTATTTATATATTCAGATCTTTTATGCTTTTCATTAGTGTTTTAATAATCTTTGTATAAGCGTTAACTATTTCTTTTTTTATATATTTGATTATTTTTATCATGTAGATTCATGAATATTTATTTTATATATGGTTTATAATTAATTAGTTTAAATTTTTTTACTCAACTCTCCCAGATTTGGCCAGTAAGTACTCCTTCCACTTGGTTCCTGTGTCCTTTTGGCATGACTCCACATCACTTTTTTACCACTTCCTTACTTCCTAGCACTGCAAGATGTTTCAAGTTGATCTTGAACAAGATCTTTTTAAATCACATTCTAGCCGATTATTAGCAATTACATGAAAGTTGTTGATTTTATGATTATTTTATATTTGGACATGTTACAGAATTTTTTTAGTTTTAATAGTGTTTCACTGGATTTTCTGGATATATAATTATGTCATTTTATAACACTTTAAAACTTGTATTTCAGATTCCTCAGTTCCTATTAGATGATTGCTTTAAAAATGGTATCCCTTGCCGAATATTTTGTACTCAACCAAGACGATTAGCAGCTATTGCTGTGGCTGAAAGAGTTGCTGCAGAGAGAAGAGAAAGGATTGGTCAAACAATTGGGTATCAGATACGATTAGAAAGCAGGTAAAGATAATTCTTCACTAGCCTATCTCTTATCATTCTTAGAAAAGATAAATGTCTATGTTTCACTGAATATGGAGAATGTGTTAGTTGAAAAGTTAGATGATTATTTATTCCAAGTAGTAATAATTCTATGACAGATCATTGAGGTTATGTCTAAACTTAGCGAGATTTTAATAAATAAATAGTTGAGAAAGGGTTTGGGCCATAGATACAAATTGGAATTTCATAGTTTTATGATCAAGTACAAGTTATTTCACCTCTTTGAGTCTCAGTTTTCTCATCTGTAAAATAGGGCTAATAAAGGCATTTAGAGTACGTTGATGTGAAATTTATAGTAAGTACTCAGTAAATGTTAGAGACTGAATTTAATATTGTTAGTCAGTATTAGTAGTACTTTCTTCATCAATAGTACTATTTCTGTGCTCTAATAGTTTGGATATGGTGGTTTAAAAAGCTGATCCCTTTTATGATATACTTTTGTCCCCAAGCAAAAAGTACAGGGTGTCTCCAAAAAATTTATGCACACTTTGAATGATTATAAAGTCAATGTTTATACAGTTTATTTTCAAAATTTTAAAGAATTTACAGAAATGAATACATTTTTTTGTCAATGCCTATTTTCAAACTGATGACCATTCTGGTCCAGGCTTTACTGATAATGTGAAGCAATGGAATTGCAAACATCAAGAATCATATTGTTTGGTGTTTGTGTGCCCTCATTTCGTCAATTGTTGCCGGTTTTGTACCATAAACTTTACCTTTATGAATCTCCATTAAAAAAAAGTCTAGCGGCACTTTAGGATAAATTTTCTTTGCTCAAAACGTAGTCTGGCTTCACTCATTATCACATATCACCTAAAAAAGAGTGAAAATTAAGTAGCTATCAGCTGTTAAAGTGTGTATACATTTTTTGGGGACATCCTATATTTAAGGTCTTTTAAAAAATCTGCTTATGGCTTTTTTTTTTTAATATATTTTATTGATTTTTTACAGAGAGGAAGGGAGAGGGATAGAGAGTTAGAAACATCGATGAAAGAGAAACATCGATCAGCTGCCTCCTGCACACTCCCTACTGGGGATGTGCCCGCAACCAAGGTACATGCCCTTGACCGGAATCAAACCTGGGACCCTTGAGTCCGCAGGCCGACGCTCTATCCACTGAGCCAAACCGGTTAGGGCTGCTTATGGCTTTTTAACAAAATAATCATTTAATTAATAAAAGGCTGTTAGTAATAAAAATTTTGTGAGATTGTCAGGCATAAAATAAATATTTCACATAACTTTGCTAATAAAGCATATATACAGTATTATATTACTTAAAGAATATTTTTATTGATTTTAGAGAAGAAGTGAGAGGGAGAGAGATATAGAAACATCACTGATGAGAGAAAATCATTGATCAGCTGCCTCCTGCATGCCCCTTCCTGGGGATCAAGCCTGCAACCTGGGCATGTGCCTGACTGGGAATCAAACTGTGACCTCTTGGTTCATAGGTCAACACTCAACCACTGAGCCACACCAGTCGGGCTATTAGTTACTTAAAGTAACATTTGTTGAAGTACATATGAGACTAGCATTTAATGTGATCATGGTTTAATTACATATAATGCTTGTAATTGTGCATGTTATTTTGATTTTTTAAAAAGGGTTTCTCCTAAGACACTTCTGACATTTTGCACTAATGGGGTATTGCTTCGAACTTTGATGGCAGGAGATAGTACATTGTCAGCTGTGACACATGTTATTGTGGTAAGAATATTGCTGAATTTACCATAAATTTCCATAAAATTTAAATACATAATTACATTTTTAGAATAGGCTATAAGTGAGAACCAATTTGTTTTTGTTTGAACAGGCTACTATAATCAAGTTACTTTTTATTTTATACAATTATTAGAAATACATATTTTATATTTAAGCTATTATCAGATTTTATAAGAAAATAAAATAAGTAGATAGTTTTTTAAAAAGTGCTTTTTTATGTATGAAAACTATACTTGCATGCATTTACATAGAGCTCTCTAGAATGGTGAACGTTTTCTTTTCTCTGAATGCTTAGTCATCTGATTCCTCCTTTAATATATATTTACCAGCCTTAGGGCATACTTTACAGTCATTTAACTTCATGGTGAAGCTGCTAAATTAACTAGCTGCTAATGAAGAAAGTAGATGAATTATCACCCTATTAAAGAGTTATAAGCTTTTATCCTGTTTGTATAAAAAGAAGTAGATTGAATTTTATAAACTTGTAATAAGCAGCTTTTGTAAACTTATTGGTTCTGTGTATTCAAACCAAAGGATGCACCTGAGTCCTGATGCTAACAGATTTTGTATATTATATTAAAAGAACATTAAATTAGACTGTACTAATTCAGAGTTTATTTTAGTTTGTGTGGTTTTATATTCTGTGAAAAACAACAACCTATATTAGGTTATTAAAGTCTACTTCTGAATTGTCCATAATACAAAATTTTCACTAATACTGGTTGGCCTTGTCCACAGTCAATTTGAATTAGTGTAAAACCTAGCAGTTCCATTATTGTAAAGACTTAGTCATCTATAATTTTTAACTATTCCATGGTTTTATTTTTGTTTACTGCAGGATGAAGTACATGAAAGAGATCGATTTAGTGATTTTTTACTTACAAAGTTAAGAGATTTGTTGCAAAAGCATCCAACTTTGAAACTAATTCTTTCTAGTGCTGCCTTGGATGTAAATCTCTTTATAAGATATTTTGGAAGTTGTCCAGTGATATATAGTAAGTTAAATTATAAGATTTCTTTTAGCATTTGTACAAAAGAATGCTTTTTGGCATGATTATATTTATTGTAATCAGAATTGGGAAATGTTCTGAAGTAGAGAGTATCCATTTCTGTTTCCTTTGAGATATGCTTAATTAGTCATTGCTCTATTATTTATCCTTTTCCATCTACAACTCTTTGCTGTTGTGTTGTGAGGCCAATTCTCTAGTATTAAAAGGAAATATTCTTTATTTTGGCCCTGTATTCCCCTTTAAATTCTATCCTATAGCTTCCCCTTTATTGCCAGACTCCTTGAAAGAATAGACTACATTCCCTTGTTTACTTCTGAACATGCTGTCACTTAACTTTTGTCCTTGTCCTTTAATCAAAACTGGTTTTGCCACCAGTTAAAAAATTATTAAATTTATCCTCAAAATTAGAAAAAGTTGTATGTGTTTACCTCAATGATATAGTGCAAACATATATAGGAAGAAGTTCACAGTTGCTCCTGTCCTCTTATTCCATGTTCTACTTTCCCAAGATTAATTGATGTTAAAGCTTAGTGTCTATCCTTTTTCACCTTGTCTATCTCATATATGCAAATCTACACATATATATCATGTTTACAGAAATTGGTTTTACAAAAATGAGCACATACATTATTTTGCAGTTTGCTTTATTCATATGACAGTACATTGTGAACAGTCCTTCAGATCAGCGGTCCTGGATGTAGTTCATTATTTTAAGCAGCTGTTTAATATTTTATAATATGAATGTACAATGATTTATTTAACTATTTCTTTATTTTTTGATATTCAGATTGGTTTTAGATCCTCCTTTCCCCCACAATAAACAGTGTTGTAATGAGCATTCTTATATGTATATCCTTATATACTGGTGCTCTTATTTCTAAGGATAGGTTCCTGAAAATGAACTTGTTGAGTAAAAGAATATATTTTTAATTTTAACAGATTTTTCAATTTTACTTTCTCAAAAGCCTGAAATTATTTAAATTTCTGTAGTGTATAGGGCTGTTTATTTGTATATTCTTACCAGTATTGTTTTGACACTAATTTAATTGCCAGGCCTATGGTTCATATTTTACACAAAAATCTTAATTACATTTTCTTTAGTATTTTTCATGGTTGGCCCCCTTTTTGTGTGTGTGTGTGTGTGTGTGTGAAATGCTCTGGTCCCATAATTTATTTGACAAAACTGCCTTCTGAAACTCAATTACATTATAGTTTGCACTTTCTTTTGTGGTCTCCTTTGTGGGTTTATTCTTTTACAATAGTACTTAAATGTTGGTATTATGGTTATTCCCTTGATCTGTTTTCTTTTCCTTATACACCTTCACTTCCTTTCTTTTCTTTGTTTTTCCTCTTCTTTTCTGCTCTATGCTACACTCTATGAGGTACTGGAGATGCACAGTTAGTGTCTCTAGAAGTTCTCAATGCCCTTCTACCTTTTTATTTTTACTTATTTATTTATTTATTTTAATGAGTTTTTTAGAAATTTTTTGTATTGATTTCAGAGAGGAAGGGAAAGGGAGAGAGAGAGAAACATTAATGATGAGAGAAAATCATTGATCGGCTGCCTCCTGCACACCCCCCACTGGGGATTGAGCCTGCAATCTGGGCACGTGCCTTTGGCCGGAATCGAACCTGGGACTCTTCAGTGTGCAGGCCGATGCTCTATCTACCGAGCCAAACAGACTAGGGCTACTTTCATTTTTAGACCGATGACTCTTGAATCTTTATTTCCAATTCAGACTCTTTTCCCCAATTCAGACTGTTCTCTAGAGCTTTGGTCTTAGATATCTTATAAACAGCTTACTTCTAATATGACCCGAACTGAATACTTAATAGTTCTACAAAAATCTTTTCTTATGTTGCCTGTTTTGATTAATTATACCATTGACCTTGTCACCTAAGTCACAAATCTGTATATTTTTCTTTTCATAATATTCTTGGATGATAAGGCACATGAAATATATGCATCTGCTAATTGGAAGCTAATTTTGGCACCTCACAATTGACATGTCTAAAACTAAACCCCAACTTCCACCAGCTAACTAACCCGTTCCTTTTTCAGTTTTCCTTGTTACATCAAGGAATAACCTCATCATCTATCCAGTTTTGTAAGCCAGCAATCTAAGAGCTATGATTGACTTTTCCTTATCATTCCTCCATATCCAATCAAATGATGAGTTCTGTGGGTTTTACTTTCTGTCTCTCAAGTCTCTTTTTTTCCATTTTTACTATCACCAACCTCATTCAAGTTGTTCTCTTTTACCTGAACTATTGGAATAACTTCTACCTGCTCTGTTCCATCCACTCTGCTCTTTTTTAAATCCATTCTCCATGGTGCAATCAGAACGGTCTTTTCTGAACTGGAATTCGATGATGTTGAACACTCTCCTGAGCTTAAAACTTTGAATGACCATTACTTCAAGATAAATACCTAAATCCTTAATAAGACTTATCTATTTCTCCTGCCTCATCTTGAACTACAATCCTCTCTCAACTCCCCCTCTCCTACTATGTTCTAGTTAGCTTGAAACTAGTTTGGTCTTTTCATATCCTTTCCCACAATGGGCTCTTTGCATGTGCTATATTTCCCCACATAGCTTAGTTATTTTGTTTACCCATTCTCTTGGTCCTCATTTTCTCAGTGAGGATGCTTTTCTTAACTCAGTAACACGCCCCCCCCCCCCACATTAGATATTTGTCATGACATCTTGTATTTCTCTTTGATAACACTTGTCACAACTCTATTTTAAAATTTACATTCTGGGTTATTGGATTAATGTCTGTCTCCTCTGCTAGCTTGCAAGCTTCAAGAGATCAGGAGGTAGCTCTGTTTCTGCTTACCATTTGTATTACTGGTGCCTAGCATGATGCCAAACACATAAGTAGAGAGTAAACATTGGAAAAAATAAGCATATGAACAGTTTTCTAAAATAAAGATCACAGTTATATTTAAAGGACAATATCATGAGGATCACTTGACCTATAGAATTGCTTTTGGATTTTACACTCAACGTTTGTTAACTTGGGAATCTCATGGTTTTATGTGAATTATCTCTGAGATGCAATAACTACTTTTTTAATGTATGTTATTTAGTACAGGGAAGACCATTTGAAGTAAAAGAAATGTTTCTGGAAGATATTTTAAGAACTACTGGATATACAAATAAAGAAATGTTAAAATACAAAAAGGAAAAACAGCGAGGTAAGCATTTTTATTTCTTATCCCCCCCCCCCCCCCCCCCCCCCCCAGAAGGGAGGGAGGGGGGAAGGGGAGAGAGAGAGAGAGGGAGAGAGAGAGAGAAAGAGAGAGAGAGGGAGAGAGAGAGAAACATCAACATGAGAGACACATCGATTGGTTGCCACCTGCATGTGCCATGACTGGGATGAGGATCAAACCTGCAATCCCGGTACATGCCCTTGACCAGTAATCGAACCTGAGATTCTGGTGCTCAGGCCAGTGCTCTAACCACTGAGCAAACAATGGCAAGGGTGGGAGGTTAGCTTTTTATCAAACACATATAAAAAGAAAATTACTGTTCCTATTGACTTTTTAGAATACTCCAGTATTATACTATGGAGGTACAAGGACACTTGAAAGTGTTTGTCTTGTATATAATTGTGTAATATATTAGAACAGTCCCAAATATACCTTTTACAATATGGTTTATGTCCAGAAGTTATAATCTATAGTGAGGAATTGCCAGTATGGTGAATACCATGGAGAAAAGGGGGTAGGGAAAGGTAGAAGAGGATAAAAGGAGGATAAATGGTGATGGAAAGAGACTTGATTTGGATGGTGAATACACAATACAGTATACAGATAATGTATTATAGAATTGTACACCTGAAACCTATATAATTTTATTAACCAATGCTACCCCAATAAATTCAATTTTTTAAAAATTAATTAACAAGAAAGGGAATACCGGAATTAAGGAGGTTGTGTGCGTCTATATCCAAAGATTCAACCACTGCCCTGGCTGGTGTGGCTCAGTTGGTTTGGCATTCCATGCACTGAAAGGTTGCTTGTTGCCAGATTGATTCCCAGCCAGAATGCATGCCAGGGTTGCAAGCTAGATCCCCTGTAGGGACATGCAGGAGGCAGCCAGTTGATGTTTCGCTCTCACATTGATGTTTCCCTGTCCGTCCCTCTCCATTTCTCTCTCTCTAAAAAGAAATCAATAAAAATATTTTAAGGAAAAGATTCAACCACTGTTTGAAGGAGGGAGAAGAGTATGATATGCCACAGCATATCTCAGGACAAGAGTAGGGAGTGGGTGGGAGGGAACTCATCTTTGATACAAATGTCAAGGTTTTCAAATCTTGATATTGTTATGAATTGCTTCTATTCTTTGATTTTAGCATTATTTGCCTATTAATACATTTCTTATGACATATCTCAGATTTTGAATTAGGATTAGACTCTCTTTATTTACTTTCACCTACATTATTCATGATGGAAGATTTGGCTTAAAGCTTTGATTCTGTTGTTTTGTCTGTATGACCTTGGATAAATAACTTTGGATTTTCCACTTGATAAAGCTGTTAGCAATACTTATTTCACAGTGCGGTGCTAAATCACTACTGTGTAAATTATAAAACTTCTAGATCTTGAAACTTTTGAACATGAAAGTTGTATAGAACTTGTATCTCAAACAACTAGCATGGTGGCAGAAGTTCAATAAATTGTTTTCTACAAAGCGCTATATGAATATCTATCATTGATTTAAACAGTATTTATTGTATGGCTAAAATACTGTTCTTTGAATTATGGATATAGAAGTAAATATTTTACTAATAGATGAATAGATAAGGTTTTAAAGCAGTTTCATGTGTCTTTATGATTCAGCATAACACATTTCATTAAATGTTGCTAATTAATATATTTTAAAAAAATAATCCTATCTAATAAAAGACAAAAAGGGTAATTGACTGTACCTTCGCTATGCTTCCCATTGGCTTATCAGGGCGATATGAAAATTAACTGCCAAGAAAGATGGCGGTTAACCGCCAACAAAGATGGTGGTTAATTTGCATACGTAGGCGCCAAGCAACGGAGCGAAGCTGGCTGGCCCCGGGCAGGAGCAGCGAGCGAAGGCCGGCATGGTGAGCGAAGAGCAA